TTTTTAAATGGTGGGGCCCAGAACTGCACACAATACTCAAGGTGAGGCCGCACCAGCGCTGAATACAGCAGGATGATCACCTCTTCTGACCGGCTGGTTATGCTGTGTTTGATGCACCCCAGGATGCGGTTTGCCCTCTTGGCTGCCAGGGCACACTGCTGACTCATACAGACCCTGCTGTCAACCAGCAGATCAGGCTAGGTGATCGGGCTTCTCCTGGCAGATTACATCTGCCGTCAGCACAAAAATGAAATCTGGCTTTTTCAATTGGCAAATGCTGCCATGAGCTAAGATATTTCCTTTAACAATGATTCATAGCACATTGTCAACATAGCTACCACCTCCTGATCTGCGAAAGCATTAGGCATGCGGGAATTAAAAGCTTGGAAAGCCTAGGGCTTGTCTTGTTTAGACTAACCTATTCTAGCTGCTGCCTTTGCATATTAAGCACTCCTTGCCCTTCCCGAAACAGGCTGTACCAATCCCACTTTATGAATCCCCATTTGCCATCAGAAGGTGCCTACAGAGGGGAAGAACATGTTTCTGAGCTGCACAAAACCCACATTCCTCAGGACACAGCAAGTCAGCCTTGTTCTGGTTTAGAAGAGCTGAAGACACATGGCAGAGCCCCGAAGTGTGGTAGGGTCCTGTTTCAGCAGCATTGAGTACATTTCTCTATGGATCAGGGGCAAATGCATCATGCTTTCGGATGTCTGCTTTTGAGAGCACTGCCTTCTGGACTCCGCAGGGCTGGTCCCCGTGATGTGCAGTGGGTCCACCCTGAGAACTTCACTCTGCTTCCTGGGGCTGACTTCCGAATCTCTGGACTTTTCTTCTCCTTTCCATTTCATGTAATAAAGCTCGTCTTTTCAAAATAAAAGGCGGGGAGGGGACAGGGTGTCAAGATTTGGAAATTCAAAATACTACTAATGCTGGAAGTACTTCAAGGCTACAATCTTACATTTAACACACTACTATCAAAAGATCAATTAGAAGTAGGCTTCCCTTCTCACTATGAGTTTCTGTATTACAAAAGGGGCAAGAACTTCCTCCTGAAGATTAGAGATGGGAGGAAGCTATAAGTCGTCCTCAGTCTAGAGTACCATTTTAAAAAAAGCAGCGAGGGAAAAAAAGGAGAAGGGGGAGAAAGAATGTCAGAAAATCTCATTTATGCTGACTTGAACTGGACTGAATCAACCAGGCCCAGGCTACAGAAGGTCACTGATGTCCAAGGTAGGTCAATCGGTCTGCACTGAGCTTTCTTTGTATTCTTCAGCCTCCCTACCACACATATTGAAAGAGTGCCATGGAGCACAAAAGCCCCAAAGAGGACGAAGGAAATATGGGGGGGCAGAGCTGTGAAAAATGCACAGGTGGGGTGTCCACATAATTTTTTTACCAAAATAAAGGGGACTGTTACAAGGTCTACTTTCCATTTATTAAGGTGCA